GGATGCCGGAAGTGAAAGGGGGGCGAATGAGGAAGGGGGAAGGATTAACGGCAATAGCAAAAGGTGTGAGGGGAAGCGGACGGCGGCAGAATGGGGGGCAAACAGAGGACGGAAAAATTGATGAAGGAAGAGAGGGGAACCACAGAGGACCATAACCCTAAAGTCTGGACTATTTCGAAACAGGTTTTTGGCCGTTTTCGTTTTTCACAATCTGTATATACATACGGTTGTAAGTGCACACGTACATACTACATACTTCTATATGTATGTACACACACATGTCACTGAACAGCGATTGTCCCAGGAGTTCGCGCTGCCCTGAGGAATTGGATGGGTGTGCTGAGGTTTTGCCTGGTGCCCGCCCATGTGAAACTCGTGAGCGCCTCGTGCAATGGATGGGTGTGCCGGGGTTTCGCCTGGTGCCTGCACGTAGACGCCCGTGGGCGGCTCGTGCGCTGGGTGGATGTGCCGAAATTTCGCCTTGTGCCCGCCTGTGAGCGCATCGTGGGCGCTCCGTGCGCTGGGCGGCCGCGTCGATTTTTCGACTCAGGAATCCCATGCTACCCTATCCCCATCCAACCCCGGACTTTCCGTTGTTGGTTTCGTTTGTGAATTCCTATGTGATCCTGGCCCTTGGTCCATCCTGTATACGAACTCATACCATCCCAGCCCAGCCAGTATCGCCTCCACCCCCCCGCCATCGTTTGGAACAAATGTTATGCGCGCGCTCTCGCTTATATCGTTTCTCAACAATCACCAGGTTTCAAGAGTCCCTTGCAAAACATAATACGAAGTGCACACGGGCGCGTCGTCGCGCTCGCATGCCGAAATCCTTCAACAAAAACCTAAGGATTCGCAAGGATGTCCACATCGAAGGTCACGAGAACATAAAAAAAACGTTTTTTGTTCAACAAGAGTTGTCAAACAGAGTGTGCGCCCGCGCTCTTTCGAATCCTGAAGAGTGCAATTGGTTCTTCAACCTTTTCATGAAATTCTTCCAAATTGGCCTCCTCGGGCGCGCGTGCCGAAATCGTCGCACACGCGCGCGTCGCGCGCGCTAGCCGAAATTCTTGACCCACGTTTCGACGTCGTCAGGATGTCAAAATCGAGTGGCCTGAAAACACCAAACACACGGTGTTGCAACATCTGCGTTCGCGATCTTGCTGAATCAGAAAACCATCGTTTTTTTTTAACCATGTCCGCAAGATTCTGCTAAACGGACCTGTCGCGCCGCATGTCGAACTCATTACAACGCCGTTGCGCGCGTGTTGAGGGGGGGCACGATCCGTTTCAAAAAAATCGCGCGGGCCAATCGCGCGCGTCGGCCGCGCGCGCATCTCGAATTCTTTCAAAAACCTTCATCGCCGACACGAGGATATTGTCATCGTTACCGGCGGGCGTGATCAACATCGACGCCGTCATTGGCCTTGCCGTCCGTTATCGCCACCTTCGTCACCGTCGCTACTTTCATAATCTTTACTACCGTTATCGGCGTCGCCATGATACCGCGCCCGCCCAAGTCACCGACTTGCACTGAAGTGCCCGCTGGGAAGTGCACAGCGGTCAGCGCCACCAGCTGGCCGCTGTGCGCGCGAGCATTCGCGGGCTAGCGCGGCCGCAGAGTTGGACCAGCCAGCGCCAAACACTCATCGCAATCGCCGCTGCATGGGTTTTGCAAATCGAGTTGCGGGTGGGTGGGTGGGATGTTTGCGCGAGCAGTGGAGTGGACAACTCACTGCGAACAGGGATTAATTGCACCACGTAGCTTGCACTAAGTAGCCTGCATTCAGTAGTTTTACGGCGTCTAGAGTGCACCGCCGCTCTCTAACCACATAACGTGCACAACATGCATGCATCCATCCACCCATCCATCTATCCATGCATCTCTACACACATATATATATATATACATGCATATCGTATATATATATACACATACGTATATATACATATATGTGTGTGTATGTCTGTGTCCGTATTTCCCCCCAGCTGCTTACGGCAAGTCCCGCCATCGTGCTTGGGCTGTGGGTTGTAAGCCTAGTGGAGGTTCGTCGGAATCTCGTAGGTTTTTTTTTGTCGGGGGCCTCTTGGGAGCAATTTTGAGGCCTCTTGGGAGCAGTTCGACGCCTCTTGGGTTTTTTCGGGGGCCTGCTGGGGAAGGCTCGGATTTTCGGTTCGTGTTCCCTCTCTACGGGCACTGTGGTAGCCGTCTTGGGGCCTCTTGGGCCGTCTTGGGCGCCTCTTGGGCTGTCTTGGGGCGCTCACTGGCCGTCTTGGGGCCTTCTTGGAGGCCTCTTGGGCCGTTTTGGGGAGGTCTTGGGGGCCTCTTGGGCCATCTTGGGGCGTTGGGATTCCGAAAAGGCGAGAGTAACAAAACCCGTTAAAAACACAAGGACAGTCAAGGACACTCAATGGATTTTGCCTTTGTGGGCCCCTGGGAGTAGAGGTCTCTTGGGGAGCCTTGGGAGCTTCTTGCGCCATATTGCGGCCACCTTGGGCGTCTTCGAGCGAGCCCTCTTGGACCGACTTGGGGGCTTTCTTGGCCGTCATGGAAGCCTCGGAGAGCCCCAGGGAGGCGCCATCGCCGCCCAGGGACGCCCCAGGAGGATGGCCGGTGCGCTCGGGGAGGTGCGGCCAGGAGAGGGTGAGCCCCTTAAAAGATTACAACAAAACACCTACCAGGCAGCACTTGGCATTCTAGCACGCCTCATCGTGCCAGGGGACACGATGGCAGTTATCGACATCTACATCTAGAGAGAGAGAGAGAGATATTGCACCTCGTAGCTTACACCACATGCCTTGCATCACATGCCGTGTGCCGCATAGCTCACCCCACATACCTCGCATCACACAATATGCACCAAACGCACAATGCGCTACATAGCTTGCAGTACATAGCTGTCACTACATTCCTGACACATCCATCATGCAAGGACGTGTCGCTTGGAGTTCACGCTGGCTAACATATAGTTTGATAATGGTGACATTTATGGATATGCACACGTATGCCTATACACACATATATACATAAATGGGAGAGGGAGGGAGAGGGAGAGAGAGAGAGAGGGAAAGAGAAAAAGAGAGAGAGAGAGAGAGAAAAAGACACATCAGAGGAATTGTGAGAGAAAGAGAGAGTGTGAGAGGGAAAATGAGAGAGAGAGAGAGACCGGGGGAAAGCACATAAAGAAAACATAGACAGAGATAGGAAGAACAACAGAGAGAGAGAGAGAGAGAAACATAGTGATAACGAAAGAACGACAGTGTTGAACGGGCACTTGGGATGCAGTCGAGAGCTCTGGACCCCCGCCGCGTTGAAAGAAATCACAGCGGTGGTACGGCGGAGGTCAACACCAGCGTAGAGGCCGCGGTACCAGACAGGGCGGGGTATGACCAGGCCTTGAGGGGCGTATGCCCAGGCCGTGAGGGATCGAAGCGGAAGCCCTCACCCACCATGTTTGCCTGGGGAGGCCAAACATGAAAGCGAACGGAGTAGAAGGACGATGCAGATGCAACGAAGAAGACAGGCAGCCAGACACGAAGAGGGGACGGAAGGGGGACATGGAGATTGGACGCGTGATGGAGAGACTCCCAAAGTGACCCCATGTCTTCCAGGGTTGCCCACGTTGCTTCCAGAGCACCCACCGCAGGGCCCATAGGGCCTTAAGGGATGCGGGGATGCCTCGATAGGGGTGGGGGGGACGGTCCCCAGCGCCGTTTGTACATCCCGAGCAGCTTTTCGATGGTCCTGGGGCTCGGCGAGGCCCCGGGAGGCCGTCCCCGAGCCCCCCTCCCCACCCCCCCCTCCCCTGGGCATGCCACCGCCCGCACCCCCTTGTCCCCACTAAGGCCCCCGCCCCCTCAGCCCCCACTGGTTCTCCAGCAGCGCAGCGCCCCCATCCGCCCCGACGGTTCTATTTTGCGCGTCGCGGCCCCCCGCCCCATCCCATGTCCCCCCCCTCCCCGCCCTCCCTCCCCCCCCGCGGCCGAGGACAGCCAAAAACCTCTCGCCGTGATTTTGTCCCCTGCGCTGGCGTGACTGGGGAGGCCTGCACATCCCCGCCAGGCCCCGCGGCCGGCCTGGTATAGTTCGCTGCGGCGCTGGCGAGCGGCGACACCCCAACATATTGGTATTGTGTGCGCGTCGCCTGTTTTTGAGCATGGTTCGCGTATTTTTGTTTTTTGGGGGGAATTTTGGAATATTTTCATTGATCGTCCAACCGAACCCAAAGGGTGACGCGCGCTCCGAGACATGTGATAGTATGTGCTTTGTGGCGGGCGCTTTCTCGCCATGCTGCTCGGGAAACGATATACTACAATATGGTTCTGCTATATGGTCGGGTCGGACGCACGCCTCCGAGGAGGACGCATCGTACTAGCATGGCCCTGTGCGTCCCAGACGATGCCGCTCCTCGACACAGAGAACCTTTCGGAATGCGCGAGGGCTTCCGAGAAGTCCCGCCGCCTTCGGAGAATGCCTTCTCCTTCTCAGTGCCCCCCCTCGCTCGCCGCCCAAGGCTCGAGCTAAACAATGTGTTCCGTGTCCGTTTTGTTTTCGTTTTCCCTCGTTCTGTCTTCGTTCCGCCCTTAACTGGAAAACGAAGTCACACGAAAACGGTCCACGAAATGACCTCCCGTCGTGATTATGTTCCCTGCGCTGGCGTGTCTGTAGATGTCTCCTTGCGTACAGCCAACGCGCACAGCAAGGATGGGCAACCTTCCCAAGGGTACCCTTGCATCCTTGCCCCATTCGGCCCATCCTTAGTGGTTTTCGCTGGCCAACCTCGTTCGAAGACCGTCAACATGGGCCTCCAAGGCCCCTGCATCCTTTTCGCGCCTCCCTACGAGACGGGCCGGAGGAGGAGGAGGAGGAGGAATAGGAAGAGGGGGAGGAGGAGGAGGAGGAGCAGGAGGAGGAGGAGGAGGAGAGGGAGCAGGATGAGGAGGAGGAGGAGGACGACGAGGAGGAGGAGCACTGCCTCCCCGCCAGACTCCGCGGCCAGCCTGGCAGCTTGCCGCCGCGCCGGCGCTGCCGCCCGAGCTGTCCCTCTCGCTGCCCAACCCGCGGCTGCTGCCCCCCTGCGCGCCGCCGCCGGGGGCCCGCGCCTTACCCGCGCGGCGCGGCCCGGCGGCCGCGGGGCCGAGGGAGCAGAGCAGGCAGGGGCAGCCAGGAGGCCATGGGCCAGAGCTTGGCATCGCTCGGACGTGTGCATTTTCTCCTCGGCGAGGACCATCGAGGGCCATCCTGGACCATCGAGGAAACAAAAACACGCACGAAACCGAAACATGCACGGGAGCAGGCAGGGGCAGCCAGGAGGCCACGGGCCAGAGGGGGGAAATTAATATAAAACGACGCGAAGATCGGGGCAACATCGGCTCGGGAGAGCTCGAAATCTCTGCGAAGCGGCGGGCTTGGAGGATGGATTGGGCGCCGCGGCCGCTCTCAGAGCGTTCCGGAACGCTCTGAGAGCGCTCCAGAACGCTCTGGAGCGATTTATCCCCGATCCTAGCCCTGTTTTAGGAAAAGAGTGCCTCAGCTGCCTCGATGCGCCCGTCCTGACGCGGAGCACGCGGCGTGCGTGCAGCGCCCGTGCCAGCACGCCGCGTGTGGGCTCGTTTTGCGTGTTGGCCCACGCCACGGCGACCGCGTCGCGTCGGGCGTACGGCTTCCATCCACGTGTGGGGCTCCGTGTCCTCGACACGCTGTACAGGTGCTCGGCATCTCTCGGACGTGTGCACTTTTTCTTCGGTTGGGGCCATCGAGGAGCGTCCTTGATCGTTTGGGGAAAAAGCCACGCACGAAACCAAAAAAGCACAGGGATTGGACGGCCGAGCGATGGCGAGGGTGTGAGGACCAGGGCCAGCGGAGGAAGAGTTACCGATCCTTCAGGGGAGGACCAGGGGGACACGGACAAGCCCCTCGAGCCATGACAAGATCACGGCGCAAGGCTTTTCGCCAACAGGCCTCCAGAGGCCTTCGCCGGGCATCAGGACCGTCAAAACACGATGACCAGTCCCGGGGAAGGGGTCCAGACCTCTGGGCGTCCACGGGCAGAGGAGCAAAAGGTACCCACAGCGCTACGCTTCCCTCGTGTGCCCCTTGTTGGCCATCCCGGGAGGCCCTCTTCGCCACCGCTGGATTCGCCGCGACGTTGTGGTCAGAACTCACTCCAAGAGAGGTCCGGGGAGTACGGTAGGTTCCAGTCGTGTCGACCGGCGGCGACTCCGCCAGCGGCGTTCAACGTTGAACGCCCGGGGCCGAGCACGTCCTGGGCCCACGGGCAGTGCGTGTGCACCCCGTGGGCCGAGCCAGGAGAGCATACGCACCGCCCTCGGGCCTTGGATGGGTCAGGCCCGGGGCAGTGGATGCGTGCAGATCTCGTCGCCCTACCTCTGCCGCCACCTGTCCTCGATCCTCGGAGCCTCGATCCTCGGAGCCTCGACCCTCGAAGCCTCGATCCTCGATCCTCGAATCCTGCACGCCGCCATCCTCGAAGCCTCGAAACCTCGATCCTCGAAACCTCGATCCTCGAAACCTCGATCCTCGAAACCTCGATCCTCGAAACCTCGATCCTCGATCCTCGAATCCTGCACGCCTGGGTCCTCGAGGTCCTCGCTCCTCGGGGCCTCGGTCCCCGCTCCTTGCTATCCCTGGTCATCGATCCTCGATGCCACTCTCCTCGATGCCACGATCCTCGCTCCTCGACGCCCCCCCCGCAAGTCAGGAGGAGAAAAAACACAGACACAATGAATCGTCGATTCCCCGCAAGGTATGGGAACATATGGGAAGTGGGGGGGAAGACAAAAGCAGGGGAAATACGGGAAAATATGGGGAATCCTGTTATTTGTGTCTATTTATTCCTGTGTCCCAGGGCCCCTTCAGTGAGCGGGGCTCCCGCCTGCCGCCCCTCGCCCTGGCCCAGGTCCTCCGCCGTGCCCAGAGCCAGCCGTCCGAGAACGACCTGGGCGAGCCGAGGACGGGCTAAGGGGGGGGGAGCTTCCTATCGGCGGCGAGCGAGGGGGGAGTCATCCCCGTCTGAGCCCCGTCCGAAGATCGAAGAGGAAGAAACGCCATAAACAGAAACATTTGGCGCTCCGCGCGGACTTCTTGGACCCGCGCTGGGCTCCCCTGGCGGCGCCTCTGGCAACGCCCCTGGCGCGCTCCGCGCGCCAGGGAGGGGGGCCCAACGCAGATCCAAAAAATCAGTGTGGAGCGCCCCAAAGTGTTTGTTTTGTTTTTTCCTTCTTCTAGAAGAGGTCTCGGCCCGTTCCTTCGGATGCAACTGCTGGGAGGTCAAACTCCGCTTTCGCCCTTGTTCGAAATCCCGCCCAATCTGGCTTACAATCCCTGATCTGGCTCAATCCCGCCCATTCCCGTTTAATCTGGCTTACAATCCCGCTCAATCCGAGGCCCACTCTGCGTAACAGCCCCCCAATGGGACTCAAACCTCTTGAATTCTTCCGACGAAGACCTCCCAGCAGTTGCCTCCTGAGGCTCCTGGGAACCACGTTTTCATCCCGGATCCTTTTTCGACGGTCCCGAGGCCCGGCGAGGGCCCCGCGGAGGCCGAACACGGCGAAAAGCCACGCGTCGGGATGGTTTCTTGCCTCGATCGGCGGCGAGCGAGGAGGGGGCGTGAGCAGGAGACTGCCTTCTCAGAGGGGGGCGGGGCTTCTCAGAAGCAAACGCACCTTCCGAGAGGCTTCCTGCGTCTCCGGGGGAGGCTCAGGAAACTTCTCTCAGGAGCCCGGAGGCTTCCGAGCCTCACGGCTCACCCCTTCTCACTCCTCCTCTCCGCTTGCCGCCGAATTGACGCCTCCCAGATGGGGCCGGAGTGGACAAGGGCGCCTACCTTCGCGCTTCGCGCTGCGCGAAGCGCGAAGCGTGAATAGCTTCGCGCTCTCGCGCCGACCCCCAAGGGGGGGCGAGGAGGATGCAGAGGAATCGGTGCCGATTCGCGAGCCGCGAAGCGTGAATGACTTCGCGCCCTCGATGGCGCCCTTGGTTGATGGGGTCGGTCGATGCATGGGCGATGCGGCTCCTTGCGGAGCCTGATTTCCTTCGCGCCGCGGCCGCCGATGCATCGGCGATGCATCGGCAGATGTATCGGCGATGCGGCGCGATCCTCCAACCCCATCCACTCGGTCCCCACCCAGGAGGCATCTATGAGGGGGGGGTCAGAGGAGCAGGAGGTACTGATACTGGTACGTTTCAGGATCTCCAGGGCTCCCGGTGTTTTCTGTGGTTCCACACGGCTGCGGAAAGGAGGGCCGCCAGATACGCTTGGAAATCCTGAGCCGCATCTTGAGCCAATATGATAATGCCAGGATTCCCGTCTATGGGGGGGCGCAATGTCAGACCAGAGGAGGCGGCGGGAGAGGAGTACGGGAGGATGATGTTGACGAGGTGAGGGAGGGTGAGGAAGATGAGAAGGATAAGGAGGAGGCCAGTGAGGATGAGAGCGAGGGGGAAAAGGGCTAGGAGGACGAGCACGATGAGGAGGCGCGGGAGGAGGACTAGATTCCGCTCAGGTGATGGAGGGAGGACATGTCACCACCAAATGTGATGTCATAGCGTGAGTGGTGGAGGACACGACGTGAGTGTGGCTTGGGTGCAAAGGCTGAGGATGCTCAGGAGATGAGGGGCACGAAACACGATAATGATCAGGACGAGGTAGAGCATGAGTTCGAGAGAACGTCTGTAAGGGCGGAGGGGTACGACCATCAACAGCCATATAGTGATATCGAGCGGGCGCAGGAGCGGCAGGATTGGGAGTACGCAGGGGAGGAGGAGGAGGAGGAGGAGGAGGAGGAGGAGGAGGAGGAGAAGGAGGAGGAGGCGGAGGAGGCGGAGGAGGAGTTGGAGGAGGAAGAAGAGGAGGAGGTAGCGGAGGAGGAGGAGGAGCAGCACCCAGAGGAGGAGGAGGAGGAGGAGGAGGAGGAGGAGGAGGAGGAGGAGGAGGAGGAGGAGGAGAAGAGGGCGGAGCGAGCAGCACCATTAGGATCTTGAGGAATTGGAGGGTGATGAGGGGTGGGGGATGCCGAAGGGCACGACGCATTTTTCACTTGCTACTGAAGTCTAGGCACGGTGCGGCCCGGCGCAGCTTTCGCACCGCGGGCACGGTACGGCTCGGCACGGCCTATCCAGGTGCCTGCGGCGAACCCCATCACTGGGCCTGCCTGAAGGGCGGACCCCCCCCCACAGGACGCGCTTTACACCCCGAGGTATTCTCACAGCAGCCCCGGGGCCAGGGCGGGCCCCCAGAGGTCGAAAGTTGCCGAAAGGTTCCCGCCGCATTTTTGCTCACGACGCGAGGGGGTCTGGGCTCCTTCCTCTCCCGCGCCCCCTTAGGATGCCCCTCCTGACGGGTTCAGTCCAACAGTGGCGCTGGGAGATCACCAGTCGAAGGCTGGCCTGATCTGGCTTGATGCCGCCTCAACCAGCTCATTCTGGCCGCCTCCCAGGCTGGATTTGGCCCGGTCCGGCCCCGTGGCTTCAATCGAGCTGAGTTACCTGCCGCTCCTGCGAAGACATCCCAGGAGCTGCCTCCCACACCCCCACTGGTGCGCCTCCCGGGCAGGACGGCCGCAGACGGCCGCCGCCGCAAGAGGCGGCAGAAGACGCCGGAGGCCGAGCAGCCCGGCCCGCGCCCTGGGCCCCCGAGCGGGCGGGCCCCAGGGGGCGGGTGATGAGGGGGGCGAAGAGGGGGGTGATGACTATGGTCTATGGGCGGGGTGGATATCACGGCGGGGGCCATTGTTATCTCCCCAGATTTCATGGCGCCTCTTCTTCTTTCATTGCGTCCCTGGCCCCCCCGCTGGGCCGCGCACATGCCGCCGGTCATGATTTGCCCCCCCCCCCCCCCCTCTTGGACCCCCCCTCTTGGCCGCTCCCGAATTACCGCATGGGTAACAGCACGCTGTGCTGCGCGTGTGCGACCTTTCCGGTGCGGACGCGCTCCTCCTGAGAGGGCGGATATCGGGCCAGCATGTCTCTCCGCGTCCCACTTCTGGGATCCCAGGCCTCCGACGTCGCGTGTCTCTCGCATCGTGAACCCCTGGTGGTCTGGACCTTTTCCCCTTGGTCAGTTGTTCATCCCGAGCAGCTCGTTTGACCGCCGCGAGAGCCCCTGGAAGCCGAAAGCTGCCGGAACTTGTGTTCTTTGCGCCGTGCAGTCGGGGCGCTGAGGAAAGAACCCTTTTCGTTTCGGAGGGGCTCCGTGCTCCTTGGATGTTTTACCGTTTGCCGCAGGTTCCCCCTCGGCTTTCGATGGGAGCCGAAGTTCAATGTAAGGGCGATGGGGCGATGGGGCCCTCGTCCCGTCTTCAATCGCTTCGCTCACTCCGCAAGCCCATTTTTTGGGAACTGCTGCGTCGACTGGCCGAGTGGTCGTTGGCGGTGCTGAGCTGCAGGGGCGTCGGCTGCTTCCTGAGGCGTTGCGTGGGGCATGATGCTGGGGCGAAGGGCCCTCGTTGCGGGCAACATTTATATCCATATCCAGTGCGTCTTGGACTTTCTTGGAAGGGGCGCCGCAAGGCCGAGGCGCACTGGATATGGATAAACATCGAGCCTGTTGGAGGCAGATTACAATCCATATCCAGTGCGCCTCATGTTTCTTGGGAAGAGAGTCCGAAACTCCAAGGCGCACTGGATGTGGATATAGACATTGCCCGCACTCGTCCCTCATTTGTCCTTCCGCAGGCCAGCTAACGCCCCAGCTGCCACGGGAAGAGGTCCTGGATCCCGCCCCTGCCGGAGCCGGAGAAGGAAGAGGTGCGCCAGCCACACACACGCACTCGGAGGTCCGCGGCGCCGCCCCCCCGGGCGCGCGCTCCGCGCGCCAGGGGCAGGGGGCCCCCGCGCAGATCCAGCGCACTCAACGCGGACCTCCGGAGGCTGCACTGCCTCGACGTCGCATCGGCGCACGACCTTGCGGTGGAGGCGTTGGTTCAAGGACGTGCCCGGAGGGCTGCAGACCCTGGAGGATCCCTTTCCTGACTGGGGCGGCTGTACCATCCTTGGCCAGTCCACGCCTGGAGTTCCACCAGCCTCCAGACCCCGGATTTCGTATCCAATGGTTCCTCATCCCATGCCCTCGCCGCGTGGAACACATTGGGGGCCTGGTGTCCTGCGGCGCCGCCCCCCCCCGGCGCGCTCCTCGCGCCAAGGAAGGGGGCCCCTTCGCAGACCCGACGCCTCACGCACGGGCCTCCGGAGGCGGCTCGCCCTCGACGCGCCTCGGCGCATGGTGTTCTGGAGCACGCTGGGGCCCGCTGTGCCCGCTTTTGGAAATCGGTTCTCTTGCCCGCAGCCTGTCTTTGCGTCTCGGGGGTTGCCGTCTCGTCGTGTTCGGTTCGTGTCGCGGTCCTCGCTTCCGGCGTTTGTGTAGCTGCCGTCTTTGTTACGTCTTCCGTTTCTGTTACTTGCTTTCTGTGTTGGGTTGCCGTGTTTTTCTGCTTTGGGTTGCCGGTTTCCGTTCGTTTGGAGCCTTCTGGGTGTCGTTGTTGTTCTTTTTTGGGTTGCCGTGTATTGTTTCTCTTGTTTGGTCGACCGCAACACGAACAGTTGAACACATTAAGCCCCTATCGTTTTTAATTCACCACTCACCCTAACCGGCCCGTGGCCCACTCGCGACCCACCCGCGACCCGCCCGCGACTCGCCCGCGACTCACCCCGCGACCCACTCGCGACCCAGCCGCGACCCACCCGCGACCCACCCGCGACCGACCCATTCGCTTTGACAAACAATCCAGCGCCTGGCGGGTTCGTTGTACGTAGCACCCCGCAATTGCGGATAAGAGTGAGGGGGCGGGCGCGGGCGACGCGGGCGTCGAGCCGGCGGACATCGTGGCCCTCACGAATACAATAGACGCCTGGAACGAATGCAAAAGAACCCCGCCGCAGGCGCCGAACATTTTGAGTGGGTCGCGGGGTGGGTCGCGGGTGGGTCGCGGGTGGGTCGCGGTGGGTCGCGGGTGGGTCGCGGGTTGGTCGCGGGTGGGTCGCGGGGTGGGTCGCGGGTGGGTCTCGGGGTGGGTCGCCAGTGGGTCGCGGGTGGGTCGCGCGTGGGTCGCCGATGGGTCGCGGGCTCCCCACCTCCACCTGGAAGGAATTCAAAAACAGCCCGCCGCAGGCGCCGAAAATTTTGATTTGTACACTGAACGCGGTTTGGGTCGCGGGTGGGTCGCAGGTTCTCCACCTGGAACGACCTGGAACGAATGCAAAAGAAACCCGCCGCAGGCGCCGAAAATTTTGGGTTGGGTGGGTGGGTGGGTCGCGGGGTGGGTCGCGGGTGGGTCGCGGGTGGGTCGCGGGTGGGTCGCGGGTGGGTCGCCGGTGGGTCGCGGGTGGGTCGGGGGGGTCTCGGGGTGGGTCGCGGGCGGGTCGCGGGGTGGGTCGCGGGCGGGTCGCGCGGGGGGTCTCGGGGTGGGTCGCGGGCTCCCCACTTCCACCTGGAAGGAATTCAAAAACAGCCCGCCGCAGGCGCCGAAAATTTTGATTTGTACACTGAACGCGGTTTGGGTCGCGGGTGGGTCGCAGGTTCTCCACCTGGAACGACCTGGAACGAATGCAAAAGAAACCGCCGCAGGCGCCGAAAATTTGGGTGGGTCGCGGGTGGGTCGCGGGTGGGTCGCGGTGGGTCGCAGAGGGGTCCCGGGTGGGTCGCGGGGTGGCTCGCGGGTGGGTCGCGGGTGGGTCGCCGGTGGGTCGCGGGTGGGTCGCCGGGGGGGTCTCGGGGTGGGTCGCAGGTGGGTCGCGGGAAGGTCGCGGGTGGGTCGCGGATGGGTCGCGGGTGGGTCGCGGAGTGGGTCGTGGGTGGGTCGCGGGGTGGGTCGCGGGTGGGTCGCGGGTGGGTCGCGGGTGGGTCGCCAGTGGGTCGCGGGTGGGTCGCGGGGCGGGACGACGACAACAACAAGTAACAACAAACAGCAAACAGCAACAACAACAACAACATCAACCACAACAACAACAATAATCCGCATTGCAGAATTCCACTTCAGCCACGCACCCAGGGACAGTGAATGACCTATCGGTTCAGCCCCCTCACTCTGATAATTTGTTGAAGACAGGGCGCCTGAGCGGGTCCTTCAGAGCCTTGCAGACTGCCGACGACCCCGCTAGCACCACACCCTTATCCGCAACTGCGGGGTGCCACATATACTGACAACTCTATAAAAATATACGTATATATATATATAGATATGTGTGTATGTATTGCCGAATATCGCTTTCGCTGCAAAGGCCCAGGCTGTTTCGTATGTTAACCGGCGAAGAGCGGTATAACATAAACGTATTCGCTGTCGGGGGCGACTGTCCCAGGGCGGCTGGAAAGTTTACACCCTTACGGTAGCTCGTCAAGGTATAAACTTGCCAGCCGCCCTGGGGCAGCGCCGCCGGCAACGGAAAAGTTTATGTTATACCGTTCTTCGCTTTTCAAAATATCATCAGGTCGTTTCAGTAGGTGGGCTGCGCTTGCTCAGCCCAAGTATCTGCTCCCGCAAGCCGCCCCGTGCATCTGGGAAGACAGGTTGGGACAGGCATAGCATACCGTGACATCGCAGACAACCTTTTTATCCGTTTATCGCGTAGCATGAAGTCGGGCGTGTCCATCTACAGGAGGAATCGTCAACAATAGTAAACATAGAATAGTCAGGGGACCAGCTCTTGACATTTGTTTTGGATCATTTTTGAATGTGTTCCGAGTGTTCTTGATTATTCGTCCAAAACCCGCTTGTAGGGGAACATGCGCGACCTAAGCTCAGCAGCTCCCGCCCCGATGAAAGCATACGGGGCCCGTTTCGGGCGGCGGCACGGTCGGCAGAGGGCCGTGCCGAGGCCTCGCGTTGGCGGTCGGGCTGCTGTCCGGCCGCGTGGAGGCCATCGGGCGGCGCTTGGAGGCGGGCGGCCCCGCCGCGTGGGCTCGCCGCCTCCCACTGCGACGAGATCACCCCTGGGTCCTCCTCCTCCTTCTTCTTCTCCTGTTCCTCCTCCTCCTCCTCCTTTGCCTCCTCCTCCTGCTCCTCCTCCTCCTCCTCGTCCTCCCCCTCCTCCTCCTCCTCCTCCTCTCCTCCCCTCTCCTCTCTCTCTCCTCCTCCTCCTCCTCCTCTCCTCCTCCTCCTCCTCCTCCTCCTCCTCCCCCTCCTCCTCCTCTTCCTCCTCCTCCTCCTCCTTCTCTTCCTCCTCCTCCTCTGTCTCATTATCCGTAAGGTCTTCGCTCCCTGCTGGCGGCCCCCTCTCTATAATAATGGGATATGACAGAGTCGCGTCGGTGCGTCTCGGCGCTGCCTTGGCGCATCTGGGAACACCATGCGGGGGCGGATAGAAGTCATCAGCGCATATTGAAACGCTGGCGTTATCGAAGAAGCCTACGGCGAGTCAATGCCGCCCCCTGCCCTTTCGGAAGCGCCTATGTGGCCGAACGCTGAGGCCAGAGCCCTGCCAAGCTATCGGACCATGCAATCTCCGAATCGGTTTGGAAAGCCTTCGGGGAACACGTGGGGGAGGACGGCCTTCAGGAGACGGTGGCTCGGCGCCGTACAGGGGACGGTGGAGTACAGGGGACGGTGGAGTTCGGTTCCCTGCCTCTGGACCTCTTTTGTGAGACGCTGCTGCATAACAACATCCTGAGGGAGATCAAGAAACACCTCGTCAAATGCTACCTGGATCTGTTCACGGACTTAGCTGAGAAGTTCTATGCCCAGTTGGTCCAGCGCCGTAAGCTGCCGCAGCTGAGCCCCTCTGATCTTGCCGCCGTCACGGTCTGCCTCCAGGAGGCGATTGAACTTCGTTTGAGTGCGGCTGCCCCGCTGCCTCCCCTCCTCCTGCTGGCGGCGCTCGTGGCCCCTGGATCGTCTCTCTCTTCCTCCTCCTCCCTCCTCCTCCTCCTCCTCCTCCTCTCCTCCTCCTTCCTCCTCCTCCTTCCTCCTCCTCCTCCTCCTCCTCCGCCTCCTCCCTCCTCCTCCTCCTCCTCCTCCTTCCTCTCCTCCTCCTCCTCCCTCCTCCTCCTCCTCCTCCTCCTCCTCCTCCTCCTCCTCCTCCTCCTCCTCCTCTCCTCCTCCTCCTCCTCCTCTGGCTCGCCCCCCTCCTGTGCGGCGCAGTCCCCCGTCGGCATCGCGGATCGACGTGCGCTTCGCTGGATGCATTCGGATGCTTTTAGGAGGAGGAGGAGGAGGAGGAGGAGGAGGAGGAGGAAGAGGAGGAGGAGGAGGAGGAGGGGGAGGAGGAGGAGGAGGAGGAGGAGGAGGAGGAGGAGGAGAAGGAGGATGAGGAGGACGTCGATCCGCTACCCCACTCTGGCGCACTCGGATTTTCGGTGCCGTGCGCACGTGGAGTGCCCCCCGGTAGCGTTCTCTGCAGGGCGTTTCGCTAAGGGGATCTCTGCCCACCCCCGAGCAGCCGTTACCGTGAGCGGCTTGGATAAGGAACGCTTACTTTTCAAAAGGGGCTCGGTCGTTCCTCAGGCTTGCATGCGTTATTTATCGTTCCTGGTGGATTACGTATTATTGGTCGTTCTTTATGCGATCTTCCTTGGAGAAAAAAGGCATTCGTGCCTTATTAATCGGTCCCTGGGTCAGGCCGATGACTGTACCGAACATTTCAGGTCATGCTCTGGGCGAGCCGGTCGCGACCGAGACTCGGCCTCGAGTCGCGAGTTCTGGTGACGCACGGGCTGTCGACGCCCCTTCCTGGCGCGCGCAGCGCGCCAGCGTCGGCGCCAGAGGTGCCATCCTGGGGGGGTCCGGCACCAAGGCGAGAAGTCTGCGCGGACCCCAGAAAGTTTACTTTCCTGCAGCTTGTGTTTCTTCGATGTGGTGGCTCTCTCAGACCCCCCGACTTCGTGATTCTGTCATGACGTGGACCCCAAAGGTCTCGACCCGATCCCTGTACCAACTTGTTGTCCTGAGCCGTTGCTTGATTGTCCCGGGGCCCGGCGAGGGCCCCCAGAGGCCGAAATAGCATCCCAGCTCCCGTCGAGATTTTACATGACCCGAGGTCATGCGGACAAATACACACAGACACATCAACCCACGCTTTCCATGAAAAGATAAGTAAAGTTGGGAAATGGAGGGGAAGGCGAAACTCCAGAACAAGTCGGAACAATCAGGTCATCCTTAGAGTTGTGTCTATTGATTTGTGTGTCCCCCTGTGCAAGGGGGCCTGGGATCTTGGCTGCGCCTTGCCGAGACGAGCACACGGACTGGCCGCCCTTTTTTATGTGCACCAGTTGCTGGTGCCTGGGGCTGCCTGCCGGTTGTTTGTGGCGAAAGTTCTGTACGGTGCAGGCCTCCTCCCGCGTTTCTCCTCCGCGGCCCCACGCTCCGGGTGTGACCCGTGCCCCTGGCGGCCCTCGCTCCTCCTCCTCCTCCTCCTCCTCCTCCTCCTCTTTCGGCCGCCCTCCCTGTCCTGCCCCATTTCCCTTGCATTGTGGCACAACTCGCTACAACGGTGCCCCCCTTTAAGCTTTAGGTAGCTCTTCTGCCAGCGCAGCTGCTCCGCCTAGCCGCCGTCGTAAAAAAAGTCTCTCCTCCGCGGCTACCCTCCTCATTTCGCCAAGTATCTTCAAGATGTGCCCCAGTGCCGGCGACAGGGCGCGGCCCGCCAGCTTTGCGCACGCGCTGGCGTCCGCCCTCGCTGCTGTAGCGCATGCAGCCGCCACACGCTCGACGAGCGCACCGCCGACTCGCGAGCCCGCTGTCTGACCCGCGACCGCGCATCCTCGCACCCTCCACCCTCGCACGCGCAGCCTCCGCACATGCCGCCGACCTGCGCGCCCGCGCGCCCACGGCCCACGGGTGTGGGACCTCGGCGGGCGGTTGCTCTGGATCTGTTCGCGCCCCTGGGGGCCAAGTCTGTCCAGGTCCGCCGCCGCCCGCAGAGGTTTCCGAGGATCAGAGTTCCCGCCTCGCACCGCCGCTCGGCCCGCGCCCGCGCATCCCCCAGCCGCACACGAAGCGCAGAGCGCGCAGCCTGCCGCCGACCTGCGTCCGCGCCGCGCGCGCCTGGCCCGCCAGGCCACGCGCCAGGGCAGCTCGCACCCTGACCCGCACCAGCGAGCCGCCCCCTGGGCGACAGAAGAGAATGGGTCCACTGCGCCGACCTTCGCGCGTAAGCTACCCCGCGTGAGCTCGCGCAGAAGTGCACTCGTCTCCAATGTGGCGTGCCGCGCTGGGACCCGCGTGAGCCGCCGAGTAAGGTCGCTGTACCATCTCTAGGGGCCACACGCAAACCCTATCCCTACCCCCCACGATTTCTGAGGGGGAAGGTGGGGTTCACTTCGCTCGGGAGCTCGCAGACGAAGTGAACCCCACCCTCCCCCTCAGAACTCGTGGGGGGTAGGGGTAGGTTTCTCATGTGGCCCCCTAATGTCCTGTTCATTTTGGACAGGGGCGGCTGTCCTCTTTCAATGGGTCGTTGTCCGTCTGGTGGCGAACACAGTCTGTCAAACAGCGTGTGTGTGGGCTCTTCTGAAGATCATGTGCTGTTGGAAGCGTCCTATCTGAGGCCGTCCCCACTTCGGGCGTGTCAACGAGTGCTCCCTCTCCTCTCGCCCACTTCTCCCGCCCACGCCCCTCCTGCCCCGCGCCCCCTCCAGATGATTCGCGGCCGCAGTTGTCCCCATCCCCTGCTCCCCCCTGCCCCTACCCTCTCCCCTCCCACCTCCCACCTCCCCGTTGCACAGGGGTGAGGAGCGAGGGAGGAGCAGGAGAAGGAGGAGGAGAAGTGAGGAGAGGAGTGAGGAGTGAGGAGCGAGGAGTGAGGAGAGAGGAGGAGGAGGAAGAGGAGGAGGAAGAGGAGAAGGAGGAGGAGGAGGAGGAGGACGAGGCAGAGGGGCTAAAGTTGTGCCCATGGGGCCGCTGGCGAACACGGGGGCAATCAACAGCGATCCTTGACGGAATAGTTGCAGGGAGCTTTGGGTGCCTGCTCCGCGCCAGGAAAGAAGCAACACGTCGGGCGGTGATCGTTTTCTTATCCGTAAGGGCTTCGCCCCCTGCCGCCGGCCCCTTCTCTCGGTGAATGGGCCATGGAGGTCTTGGCGCTGTCGTGAAGCAGTATCGAAACTTCTTGCGAAGCCGATTCGCAATCAGCAAAACCAACTGATCACAAGAGGGGTTACCACACCTGGCGATTGGTAAGACGTGTATGGTTTACGGGCTTGGTTACCACACCTTGCGATTAAAGGGCCGAGGGAGTTCTCGCAGTTTGGGTTACCACGCCTTGCGATGGATGTGCGTGAAGGGTGGCACCGAATTTCAGAAATGTGGCAAATCCCTTGTGTTTTTGGACCCTGACCCCGCGGATCTGCGTAAGGGGTGGCGCCGAATTTCAGAAATGTAGCAAATCCTATGTGTTTTTGGACCCTGACCCCGCGGATCTGCGCGAGGGGTGGCGCCGAATTTCAGAAATGTGGCAAATCCCATATATTTTTGGACCCTGACCCCGCGGATCTGCGTGAGGGGTGGCACCGAATTTCAGAAATGTGGCAAATCCCATGTGTTTTTGGACCCTGACCCCGCGGATCTGCGTGAGGGGTGGCACCGAATTTCAGAAATGTGGCAAATCCCTTGTGTTTTTGGACCCTGACCCCGCGGATCTGCGTGAGGGGTGGCACCGAATTTCAGAAATGTGGCAAATCCCGTGTGTTTTTGGACCCTGACCCGCGGATCTGCGTGAGGGGTGGCACCGAATTTCAGAAATGTGGCAAATCCCCTGTGTTTTTGGACCCTGACCCCGCGGATCTGCGTGAGGGGTGGCACCGAATTTCAGAAATGTGGCAAATCCCCTGTGTTTTTGGACCCTGACCCCGCGGATCTGCGTGAGGGGTGGCACCGAATTTCAGAAATGTGGCAAATCCCATGTGTTTTTGGACCCTGACCCCGCGGATCTGCGTGAGGGGTGTCGATTTCGAGCGCCCCCCAGCAATTCAGACAACTCGCCCAGGGGACGCTAAAAATCTTGTTTGGGCCTCCCCCCCCCTCGCGCGGTCAATCAACTAGTTAAAGTAACCAGCAAGAAGCAAACCTGTAACACTGGAAACTACAAGCTACAACTGGTACAGGAAACTGTGAATCACGGGCCTACAGCCTGGTGGCCCCACAAGGGGGCCGGCGGATTCACTGTTTTGCCGCTCGGCCCGGGCCCTCGCACCCCCCCCTCCTTCTCCTCCTCCTCCACCTTCGTCTCCTCCTCCTCCCCCTCCTCCTCCTCCTCCTCCTCCTCCTCCTCCTCCTCCTCCTCCTCATTCCTCCCTCATCCCTCCTCCCTTCTCCCTCCTCCTCCTCCTCCTCCTCCTCTTCCTCCTCCTCCTCCTCCTCCTCCCGCCCCTTCCCCTCTGAAGCAGATCTTGTGTGTTTTTGGCGCCTGTTTCGCTCAGGTGGAGTCTCCCCCCATGGGACGCACCTTTGCAAACAGTCGCGCGAAGCAGAGGTCCGGAGCCAGAGCCCCTCCCCTCCCCACCTTTCCGCCCAATGTCGAAACGCCGAATACAAAAACGTTCACGTGCCTGGGGGGAAATGAACGGGGTAGGAGCAGTGGCAAGTCTTGAAAGGTACAATAAGCCCACGGCCCTGGTACTTCCTGGATGTGACTCCAGCCTGCTCTGGCTCAGTCCAGCCAGCAGCGACCTGGTTCAGCTTAGCTGCGTTCGATCTGGCAAGCCCCTGCCTTGTGGCTCCTTCCTCGGGCTTCCTTGGAGCGCTCACGCCCTGCTGCATACCTCAACACTTCACGGTCGCGTGTGCGTGAGACCCGAGACCTGGCTGCATCACGCGGGAAGACAGGGGCCGGCTGGGGAGGGGACCAGCGCCGTGGCCCAGGCTGCGCGTAGGCCGACGCCGCTAGGCCCCGTCGGAGACCACCGGACACCCCCGCAGGCAGACGGGCCACAAGGGTGCCGCGGTCGAGTGCCCAACCCTTCTCTTCCTCCTCCTCCTCCTCCTCCTCCTCCTCCTCCTCCTGCTCTTCCTCCTCCTCCTCCTCTTCCTCCTCCTCCTCCTCCTCCTCCGCCTCCTCGGGCCCGCGCGGCAGACTGATCGCGCCCGCGCGACGATCGGGGCGACCCGACGACGATCGCAGAAGCAAGGCGGGCAGGATCGGTTGAGAAAGAGGTACTTCTCCTCTGGGTGTCTGGCTGCGGCCTGGCGGCCTCGGCGGCGGCGACGACGACGACGCTCTGGCAATGGATGTCTACTCGTGCACTTCCCAGTGGGGGTCTGCGACCCCTCCCGGGCATTTCCTTATCCTTTGCCCGCGGACGCACTGTATGCGCCGTACCTCGTTGGGGTCCCAGGCGTCGTCGGTGCTCGACCCAGTAGTGGTACGGTGTGCAGGTTTTCGGCCTTCTGAGCAGGTGAACTATGCACCGTACCGCGCTGGAGCGGGCCTGAACGCAGTCCAAACGTGGTACGGCGCAGGGGCGCCGTCCTCGTACTTGGGTCGCACTGCGTGAGGCCGATGCCGCCAGGGCGGCGGCGCGCGACCAGAGCGTCCTGGGCGCTTTGCGCGCGCTGCCCTACACTGCGCCGCCGGCCCCGGCGGGCGGCCCCGCGGCGTGGGCGGAGGAGCTGCCGTCGTCTCGTCGCCGCCTTCGTCGCCGCCGCCGCCGTCGCCGCCGTCGCCGCCGCCGTCGTCGCCGCCGTCGTCGTCGTCGTCGTCGCCGTTGCCACGCCGTCGCCATCCCGCCGTCGCCGCCTCCAGTGCGCTCGAGGGGGCGGCAGCGGCGGCGGCGCGCCGTGCGGCGTCGCTGTCCCGGTGGCGGTTGTGCGCCTCGCTGCGCCGCGGTAGGCGCTCAGGGCGCCCCGGGCCTCCAGCGCCGTGGTGTCAGAGCCACGCGCTGCGGGCCCAGGGACCAGCAAGACCCGACGCCCGCCCCGCGGCGAGGAGCTGGTCCCGGGGGATGGGGCCGAGAGCTCGGGGGGTCCACGGCGTGTGAAATCGGAGGCTGCTGGGACCCCCACCCTGCCAAGTCGATGAACGCATTTTTTTCTCTCGATTCTCGAGGGGGCGTTTGCGGCCGCACTGGCCGTGTGCCTGCGCCCGCCGGGTCAAGTCCTGGGTCGTTTTCGCTAAAGGGTGTTTTGTTTCAAGGGTGTTGCCCGAAGTCGGACGTCCGAGGGCGGTCAGCCACGCTCCTGCGTCCACGGATTGCGTCATCGACCTGGCACCGACAGTGTACCACTTTGCGCACCCTGGACCACCAGCACGCAATGTTCTCCATTCCCTACCTCCAGGCGTTTGGTTCTCGCATTCGCCTCATCCCTCCTTCCTCTCTGAGCCCTCTCTCGCTCGTGCACGCTGCATAGACATAATTACCCCTTTCTCGTCGCGTCTTTCCTTGTACGTGTGCACGCACGCCTGCGCACCATGAAGATTGCATTTGTAGATGTGCATTTTTTCTGCACGCTTCGCGTATCCCCACAGCTTACGGCTGGGTTCGCAAATTATCTGGCGTTGTGCCCCAGTCAGCCCGATTGACCCGTCCTCTGGACTCTTCTTTGCGGGCCGCAGATCATAAAAAATAAAAGTATCCCCACAGCTTCGCCTACGTCACGGATGGTGTCTGGGTGTGCCTGTCGGTCTAGTTCGTCTCTGACGGTGCTGTTTGTCAGACTCACACCGCATGATCGACCTCTGCGTGTTTATGGTCGCGCCGCCGCGCCATTTTGGCTGCGTTTACCTGCTGGTCGCCACTGGGATTCCCAACGCCACCGGGTTTGAGAGTATCTGTTCTGGCTTTCCTTCTGAGTGGCTGCCCGCTCGCTCGCTTCGCTTGCCTTTCTTTTCCTGCTGCCTAGTCGCGGCCCGAGTAGGGCTTTCGACCCGCCTCGCGGGCCTGTTGACCAAAACGTATCCCCACAACCCGTTTCTCTATGTTGGCGATGGCCGTAAAAGGCTTTTGGCTCCGAGTTCGACAAGCTCACCTGGAGAGTGTGTTAATGAACGCCAGTATTCTCTCGCCGTTTTGGCTGCCGCATGGTTGCTGGCAGTTCGTGGCTGCCAGTTCTTTAACGACGCCTTGTTCGGAAAGTGCGTCCTGGGGAGCTCGAGTTGCTGACTTTCCATGTGCGTGGCCGCTCACCCACACCACCCACACCGTACCTGCGCCACTTTGCGGCGCCTCAGTGGGCACGCCTTGCGTCACTTGGTACTCAGTTTCGATCGACGTGATTCTCATGCTGATTTGTGATGCCTCCCGCGCAACTTCGGCCGCGTCGAGCCCACTTCCACTCTGAGCCGGGCGCCGTTTGCTTCGGCGTTTCCCCCTTTGCTTCGGAGAACCCACCGACCTCGGCATGAACACTCTGGTTGTGGTTGTGGTCGATTTTGCCGTCCTGGGACGCCACGTCGACGCACAACCAGTACGAAACTGGTTCCGGTGTTCCCACAGTTTTTTGGCATGCGCAAGAGACATCCCCTAGGTTCTGTCGTCGATGTGATTTTTGTCCCCGCACTCAGGTCTCGTACAGGTGGGGTTATCCCGAGGTGGCCGATGTGGGCTTGGGGAACGAGCCTAGCTGGATGCTCGCAGTGCCGTTTTCCATTGGCTTCGTCTTAGAGAGCAGGCGAGAGAGCTCGCCGTAGCCTCAAGGCATCACCCTTCGGTCCCGAACTTCGTTCGGGGCCCGATTTGAGGGCACACGCTCAGCACAGACGCTGCGTACTGCTGGGGGCATCATCTTGGCGTCCACCCCGCAAACGGGTAATTTGTACCCCGAGCGATCCCAATCCAAGAACGCATGCCGGGATCCTCCGGAAGCACCAGCACGTTTTAGGCCTAGCGGTCGCGGTGTGCAAGCGGGCGCGGGTCGACGGCGACAGACAACGAAGGACGTCGTCGGCCCCATGATTCGCCTAGCCCACGACGTCGAGGCGGGCCCAGCAGCGCCAGCCTGTCGGCTGAGGGATGGATCCTCACGGCCTCGCCCTCTGCGGCCGCCGTCGTGGCCCTCTTCGAGAGCAGCACCGCCACGCAGCAGCGTTTCCACCGGGCAGTGGTATCTCTCAGCCCCACCACTGTGCCGCCACTGTCGGGGACGGGCCCCTTCGGAGCCCCATCTGGGAGGGCAATTCGGCCACTGAGGCCCAGGCCACGGCAGTTGGAAGTAGGGATCGGTCAAGCGCGCAGCTGCCCTGCGACGCCCGTGCTGAAGCGCAACACGTACCGTGTTCGAAACGCCCCAACACGCTGCGTGGTGGCTCGGCGCGGGCTGGTCCACGGTCTGGCGAGCGCCTCGCGCCAGGCCTACTTCTCCAGCCTACACGTGTTGAGCTCCGTCTCCATACGCTGCGTGTTGCGTGTTGCGTCTGGGGGCAGCTGAAGCAGGGATCGGCGAAGCGATGCTAAGTTTTGCGAAGGTCTCGCGCCAGACCTACGTTCTCAGCCTATGTGCCTATGCGTACTGAGAGCTCCGTATCAATCTACGCTGCGTGTTGCGTGCGGCGTCTCGCGGCAGCTATACGCCAGGGATCTGCGAAACGATGCCGAAAGCCACGCCGCCCGTGCACGCGCCCGCTCGCCTGGCGCAGGGCGAGCGGCCGCGAGCGCCCGCGCGCCCGCCGCCTTCTGGCGCCGTGGTCGGCCCGGAGACCCGGGCGCTGCCTTCTTCGGGAGCGGCGGCCCCGAGGGCTCGGTGAGCGGTTGTTGTTCCTCCCCGGCGTGACGCTCGTTACCAGGGCCAAAACCCCCCGCCCCCCGGGTAACGCTAGCAAACGTGCTGGGGGGAGGGGGGGCTGGGCCCCACCCCACATGCTGGGAGCGGGCCGCCCGCAGTTATGGCGCTGTGCTCACAGGCGCGCCGCGGCCGCCGTTGCCGTTGCCCTCCCGCCCGAACGCCCCCCCCCTCCCCCGGGTAGCGGGCGTTACCCAGGAAAGGACAACAAAAACAAAAGCGTTCGCTTGGCGGCGTGGGCGCTCCCAGCGCGCGGGGTGGAGGGCCGCCGCCGCGCCCCGTCGAGGGGGGTGAGCAGTGGCGAAGCGTGCCGGCTCGCTTGTATACGGGACCACCGGAGAAGGTTCTTAGAACCTGTTGGTGGGCTGCACGAAACGTTCTGAGAGCAGTTCTGGCTGGGACTGTCCGATGTTGAGCACATCGGGCTGTGCAGATCTTGTTTTTTTTTGTTCTCTCAGAACAGATTTTCGCTCCAGGAACAGTGCGCGGTACCCTGTAGGAATGCCGGGGCGGTCGGCCCTTGCTCAAGGGAGGGCCTAGACTGTGTCGTCAATCCTGGCGCTGTCCTTCGATCGATTTCAGCCTCGGGGAGCTGTTCTCGGGCCTCGGGGCCATCAAAAAGGCATCCCGGACGAGAAAGCCTCCCTCGGGGAAGGGGTCGGGCCTTCTGGGGCCGCGCCTTGGACAACTGACAATTCACATCGTCGGACCGTCGGAGGGGGGTCGCCTCCTCTCGTGGGACGGACCTCATCTCTCCGGCGACATGCGTCTTTCCCGCGATGTATCGGCGGTTCCAGGTCGGTGCTTCCACTCTCTGAGCTGCCCCCCCCCCCCCCCACCGTTAAGTCGGGCCTGTCCCCCTACAGGGAATTTACGATGAAAAATACAAGATACCCCAAAAGTAGTCCAAACATAATCCAAAAATAGTATGTGGATTATTTTTGAATATGTTTTGACCTTTTGGTGGCATTTTGGGGGGATTTTTTTTTAGTTTTCGTCGAAAATCTCCCTGTAGGGGGACTTAACCCTATCGTTGGCCCCCTCCTCTGCGCGCGCCTGCCCCCACTGGCGCCGCCCAGGGCTTCGACGAGGCGTGCGGGAGCGAGGCCCAGCTGCTGCAGGCCACCCCTTGGCTCCTCCTCGCCCGCCGCCAGCGAGCAGCCCTTTTTTTTGTTTGGCTCAGGGGGGGGGGAGGAGGAGGAGGAGGAGGAGGAGGAGGAGGAGGAGGAGGAGGAGGAGCAGGAGGAGGAGGAGGAGGAGCAGGAGGAGGAGGAGGAGGAGAAGGAGGAGGAGGAGGAGGAGGTGGGGGTCTGTTCTTTTGTTCCCAGGCCTTTCCTCGGATCCAGGTCCTGGAACCCGTTCGCGGCCGAGGCCCGCCGTGGCCAGCAGAGCCCCTCTCGCGCCCTCCTCTGCGCGCCCCATGGGCGGCACGGCGGCTGCACACCGGCCCGTTCCCTCTTGGACGGTCCGGGCGACGTTCCGCTCGAGCGCGGCGTGGGCGCGGCTCTCTCGAAGACGCCCCGGCCGGCGAGGGGGGGAGGGGAGAGGTCAGGCTCGGGAGGTTGCGTGGGGTGGGGGAGCGCCCGGGAAGCAGCCGAGAGGCCTGGCGTGGCCCAGGCCCGGGAGCGAGGCGTGGCGAAGAAGGCGAACGCCGCGACGGCCGGTGCGTGGTCCGCCTGCTCCTCCTCCCTCTCCCCCTCCGCAACCAGTTCGGCTCAAGCTGCGCTTCCCGCGCAGCCCGCCCGCCAGGCACTCCTCCGCGCACCGCACCTTCACGCCCGCACCGATGGCGCGCGCCTTGGCTGTCCTCGCGGCCCTGCTCGCCCTGCACGCCGCCTATGCCCTGCAGCTGGACGTGCAGGGCAGCGAGCTGCAGGCTGCAGGCGGCGCTGATTCTGCGGCAGCAGGCGGCGAGGCCGGCGTGAGCGGGGCTCTCACGGTGGGCGCCTCCGCGGGGGCGTCTTCGATGCTGGGATCCGCTGGCTGGGTCACGCTGCCGATCGTGCTCGCCTTCGGCGTGGTGGCCTTCGTCGCGGGCGGCGTCGTTGGGCCCATGGTGCCCGCGAAGATCTTGCCGTACCTGGTGTGCGCGATCTACATCTGCTTTTCCGTGGCCATCGACATCTCCATCGCGGTGCAGAAAAAGGGCGGGAGCGCGCACGGGGACGGCGGCGGGTACTCGTTCAACCCCGTGTGCGCCGTGCTGCTGACGGAGGCGGTGAAGTTCTGGATCTCCATGTTCATCTACCTCATTGCAGTGAAGTCCGAGGGAAGGCCACTGATCCCTGCTGAGCTGAAGCTCTCGGACGCCAAGTGGCTGGCCCTGCCAGCGGTGATCTTCACGGCCAACAACATCCTCGTGTTCGTGGCCATCGGTAAGAATGACATGTCCGCGTTTGGTGTGTTCCGCGACACCATGATTCTCTGGACCGCTGCCATGTGGAGGTGCGTGTTCCGTGTTGAGCTTGGCTGGACTAGGCTGGGAGGTATCTTCATCGTCTTCCTCGGTCTTGTCGTCAACAAGGTTTTCTCGTCGAAGTCTTCGGGCGAGTTCTCGTGGATGTTCATGTGGGTGCTGCTCATGACCCTGTGCAACGCTGCCGGCTCCGTCGCCAACGAGTTTGCGCTGAAACAGAACAAGGCCCTTGACATCAACGTGCAGAACATGGTGCTCTACAGCTTCTGCGTTGCCTGCTCGATCGTGTTCCTGGCTGCCACGGACGCGGGCCGGCTCGCAGGCACGTTCTTCGCCGGCTTCGACAGCCACACGTGGCTCACGATCGGCCTGCAGTCTTTGGTTGGCCTGCTGGTGTCTCGCCTGCTCAAGCACACGGACTCCGTCATGAAGACCATCGCCACCTGCCTACGCGGCCCCGTCGTCGTGATGATCTCGCCCATCTTCACGCACATCGGCAGCTCCGCGGCCTCCTGCCTGTCCGCGGTCATCGTCGCCAGCGGCTGCTTCACCTACCTGACCCAGGGAGCGCTGACTGCCGCGCCGACCAAGAAGTGATCGTCTCGTGCATATCTGTTTGAAGGGCCCCTCGGCCGTGCTTTTGTAGTTTCCTTTGCTCATGACGTGTGCGTTTCGGGGCAAAGAGTGGGTCCTCCTCCTCCTTCTCCTCCTCCTCCTCCTCCTCCTCCTCCTCCTCCTCCTCCCCCTCCTCCTTGCAGAGGGGTCCAGCACCCACCCACAGAATCCGGGCGAAACCCCGAACCCCGACAGCTCAGGTTTCTGCCGTTTCTAGCTTCCTCGATTTGCGCGCGCTCACATGAGTCCTGAGTAATCTCACGCTCTCTCTCTCAGTATCGTTGAACCGACCCCCATCCCCATCCCCATCCCAAATTACCACCCCAGTTGGGTATACACCTCTCGAAACCCGAAGGGAACGGCCTATATCCCCATCTAGAGGGGTTAACCGGCCAGAGGGGCCACGCCGCTGGGGATGGGGATCGCTTAAACGATGCTCACTCTCATGCTCATCGTCCAGCCCTCTTGCAGGTGAAGACGCTTTAGCTTAGTATGGTGCAAGCATTTACTTGAAGCGTGCAACAGGAGGCAACATGCATGGAACGAGGCGACTGTATGATGATTGCCGGCTTGGGGCCACTCTTGGGACCTCTTCCCCCTTCCCCTGTGCCGGCCAGATGCTCGGGCGCCTCAACGCTCACTTCGAGCAGCTCCAGGCCAAGAGGGGGGGCGCGCGGACCCAGCCTTGCTTAGTTCTCGTCGTCGTCGTGAGTCATTCTCGTCGTGCTTCGTTCGTCGTCTGTGCTTCGTCCTCGTCCTGCTTCTCGGCGCGGCGAGGCGGTCGTCGTGCGTCGTTCTCGTCTGTCGTCCCCGTGTGTTGTGCTGGCGCTGTCCCCGGGCACTCTGCACCCTGCCGCAGGGGGCTCCTCCGTCGCTGGCCAAGGTAGTGCAGGCGGCCTGCGAGCGGGTGGTGGGAGAAGGGGGGATGCGCAGCAGAAGCAGGGTGACGAGGAGGGGGGGAAGGGGGAAGGGGGAGAGGCAGAACGAGGGGCAGGAGGGAGAGGAGGCAATAGGGGGGAACGAGGGGGAGAGCAGGGGACGGCGGAGAGGGCGGAAGGGAGAAGGGAAGGAGGAGTGGCGGGGAGGGAGGCGGGGAGGAGAGGCATGGAGGGGGGAGGGGTGGCGGGAGGAGAGGGAGCAGGGGGAGATGGGGCGAGGGTCGCAGAGGAGGAAGGGATTTGGAGAGGGGATGGTGGTGACAAGCTAGGTGCGCAACTACCCCGAAGTCGGGCGTGTTCCTCTACAGGAGGAAGGTCCCATAATAGTGAACAAGTAGTCAGGGAACGATGTTTATGCTTTTTTGGTCATGTTTGAATATGTTTGGAATGTGTTTTGTGTTTCGTCCACAGTCCGCCTGTAGGGGGACGCGCGCGACCTACAACTACCCCTCTCTCCTATGCCATATCATTGCGTAGACCTCCTCTCTATTTAGCAGTCGGATGTCCAACAGAGCAGTTATTCTGGTTGAGTGCGCGATGCGTGGTATAGCACGGCTTAGCTTGGCATAAGAGAGCACGGCCACGGCGGACGTCATCGCGTCGAGAACGCGACTCATTTCGACATCCAGGTCAGAGGGAAACCAGTCATGGCACAGGACGGGATATTCAAATGGACAGTTTGGAAGGCGGGCAGCGCAACATGATATCAGCGATGCAGCGGAACCACGATTTCGAAGGGCTGGAACAGCAGAAATGAGACCAGCGCTGCAGTTGGAGCACGATGTGGAAGGACTGGAAGCGCAAAACCGAAGCCAATGCTGCACTAGGACTAAGATTTGGAAGATCCGAAACACCGAGATGAGGTCAACGCTGCAGCGGGTACATGATGTGGAAGAACTGAGAACGTGAAAATTGAGCCAACGCTGTTGTGGGAGTGCCAGCCTGAACGGACTGAAAACGTTTGGCTAGGGAACAACACTACATTAATTTTCAAATCGGCGACATCCTGTGTATTAAAAAACAATATGTGGCGGACGCCAGGACACCTCACCAGCGTCTTCGAGGGAGAGAGGAGTGTAGTACTCATGTTGGGTAGCATTGTGTATGGTGAGGAGGAGGAGGAGGAGAAGGAGGAGGAGGAGGAGGAGCGGGAAAACGAGGTTCATGAGGATGTCGACGGTGAGATGGACGGGTATGTGGAGCAGGGAAATGCGGAAGGTAAGTTCGAGAAATGGGACGAGGAAATCTGAGGAGGACGGGGCTGGAGGAAGAATATATGATGATGGTAAGCGGTCTGATTCGGACTGCAAGGTCAGGTTGCGGGAGGAGCACAAGAAGAGTGCGGAGGATGTGGAGGACGGGGCTAGCGAGAACGCGAATGATGGTTTGGAGGAGGAGGTCTCGTGTGGATGTGGAGGGTGGTTGGGGGAGCAGGACAATTATGTAGTATTCGGGTCATGATGAGCGGGAGGAGGGAGGGAGGAAGGGGGGAATATACAGGCACTTCCCGCACCAGCGTCGGGGTCCACCTCCAGACCCTCGGCTGTGGGGGAGCCGTCGCGGGGCAGGCGGAAGGCTGCCGCCAACGGGAGGAAGTAGGGGGCCGCGCCGAGCGGCCTGCCTCAATGGATCGGAAAGGAAGCGGAAGGAAGGATAATCAGGAGGGCCGAAGAAGAAATCAAAGGCAGCAGCGTGGAATGGGGATTCCCCGCTTCAATGTCTCGGCGGAGAACCGCGGGTCACGCACGGAGGCCGCGAGGAGGACATCCACCTCCACGCCCATATCCTCCTTGACGTCCACCACCTCATCCTCCTCCGTCTTCCGCAACAAGAGCCTGCTTTCGCACGTTCTCAAGCAGCACTACCCTGGCATGCCCCTCCCCATGGTCATCCTCCTCCTCCTGGCCATCCTGGTCCTCCTCCTCCTCCTCCTCCTCCTCCTGTTCGTCATCCTCCTCCTCGTCCTGCTGCTCCTCCTGCTCCTCCTTTACCTCCTCCTCGTCCTCCTCCCCCTCCTCCTCCACCTGCTCCTGCACCAGATCACGAATGAGACACCGCAGACCGCGTGAATAAGACGGCGCCGGTGCACCGACTTCCGCGGGCAACTTTCGCGCGGGTGAACGCGCAATCGATCTCCATGGCTCCCCCCCCAACTTCAAAGTCGGCGGTGTAACGGGCCGCGTCTGTCGAAGCTTCGTCTCCCCCCTCGGGGGCGGTTAACCCGCCCATCCCGCTAGCAGACCGTGGAGGCCTTGGATAAGGAATCCAGGATCTGGAGCCTTCTGGAGATCCACTTGCGTGGAACGGGGGGGGAGAGTTGTCCGCCCCCAATCATTGTGAGCTCTCTACCCTCCCTCCGTCTCCCATCCCTCTCCCCCTACTTCCTCTTCCCTCCCGCCTCCCTCCTCCTTCCCCCCTCCCTCCCACCTCCCTCCCGCCCCCCGCCTCAGATCCCCTGGAGGAGGACGGCAGGTGAGCGGTGCGGTTGCGGTTGCGGTTGCGGGCCCGCGGGCGGGTTGAAATGCGTCGCCCAGTGGGGGTCGCAGATGCGCGCCCGCGGGGGGGGGTGAAATGCGTCGCCCAGAAGCCGTTGCGGTTGCGCGCCCGCGGGCGGGTTGAAATGTGTTGCCCCGTAGCGGTTGCGGTGGCGCGCCCGCGGGCGGGTTGACATGTGCCGCCCAGGTGCGGTTGCGGTTGCGCGCGCGCGGGCGGGTCGAAATGTGTCGCCCAGTTGCGCATGCGGTTGCGCGCCCGCGGGCGGGCCGAAACGCGTCGCCCAAATGCGGTGTCGCGCCCGCGGGCGGGTCGAAATGTGTCGCCCAGGTTGCGGTTGCGGTTGCGCGCCAGCGGGCGGTTTGAAATGTGTCGCCCAGTAGCGGTTGCGGTTGCGCGCCCGCGGGCGGGTGCATGTGTCGCCCGGTTGCGGTTGCGATTGCGGCGCGCCCGCGGGCGGGTCGAAAGGTGTCGCCCAGGTGCGGTTGCAGTTGCGCGCCCGCGGGAGGGTCGAAATGTGTCGCCCAGTTGCGGTTGCGGTTGCGCGCCCGCGGGCGGTTTGGAAGGTGTCGCCCAGTTGCGGTTGCGCGCCCGCGGGCGGTTTGAAATGTGTCGCCCAGGTGCGGTTGCGTTCATGCGCCCGCGGGCGGGTTGAAATGTGCCGCCCAGTTGCGGCTGCTGCTGCGCGCCCGCGGGCGGGTCGAAATGTGGCGCCCAGGCGCGGTTGCGGTTGCGCGCCCGCGGGCGTTCTGAAATGTGCCGCCCAGTTTCGGTTGCTGTTGCGCGCCCGCGGGCGGGCCGAAATGTGACGCCCAGTTGCGGTTGCGCGCCCGCGGGCGGGTCGAAATGTGTCGCGTAGTTGCGGTTGCGGTTACGCGCCCGCGGGCGGGCCGAAGTGTGTCCCGTAGTTGCGGTTGCGGTTGCGCGCCCGCGGGCGGGTCGAAATGTGTCGCACAGTTGCGGTTGCAGTTGCGCGCCCGCGGGCGGGTATAAATGTGTCGCCCACTTGCGGTTGCGCGTTTGCGGGCGGGTTGGAATGTGTAGCCCAAGTGTGGTTGCGGTTGCGCGCCCGCGGGCGGGTCGAAATGTGTCGCCCAGGCGCGGTTGCGGTTGCGCGCCCGCGGGCGGGTCGAAAGGTGTCGCCCAGCTGCGGTTGCGGTTGCGCGCCCGTGGGCTGGTCGACATGTGTTGCGTAGTTGCGGTTGCGGTTGCGCGCCCGCGGGAGGGTCGAAATGTGTCGCCCAGTTGCGGTTGCGGTTGCGCGCCCGCGGGCGGGTTGGAATGTGTCGTCCAGTTGCGGTTGCGCGCTCGCGGGGGGGTTGAAATGTGTCGCCCAGGTGCGGTTGTTGCTGCGCGCCCGCGGGCGGGTCGAAATGTGTCGCCCAGTTGCGGTTGCGGTTGCGCGCCCGCGGACGGGTCGAAATGTGTCGCCCAGTTGCGGTTGCGCGCCCGCGGGCGGGTCGAATCTGACGTCAGTCCTGACGTCAGATTCGATGTTTCCTGACGCTCAGTCAGTCAACCAGCCAACCAGTCAATCACAGGCGGTCACGAAATTTCACCCGCTTCCGCCGGGAACGATTGCATAAAGATAATGTGTTGGCGCTCCGCGCGGATTTGTTGAATACGGAGGGAGTTCCAGCCCAGATCCAAGAAATTCACGCGGACCTCAAACAGATTATGTTTATGCAGTGTGTTGAGCAGGAGGTCGAGCAGAAGTAAAGAGAATGCGGACGATGGCGAGGACGAGGGCGACTGTCATTCTGGTGGATGCGCAGGTTGTGACGGCGATTGCGGTGTGCTGGTGCGCATCCCAGCGTCATCGTGCAACAAGGCAAGGGGAACGTGCGACGTCGATGCTTGAATCCATGTTTCCAGCCGTTGAGCTCTCCGAGGGATGAAGGTGACCATGACGACGTCGAGTATGGCGGTGTTCGTCTCTTCACGGTCTTGGGGTCCGGCGAGGGCTTCCGCAACGGCCGAAAATGGCCAACAAATTCTCGCCTGTCGCGGCTTGATTGCGGCAGCGTTGGAAGTCGCGGCAGCGCCCTTCGGGGGAAGGAGAAGCGACATCGCCACCAGCGTGCCACCTCTAATGAGGAGGTCCACGACTTGAAGCCTTCCCCCAGCTGGACGGGAGATGTCTCGAGCGGGACGTCGCTAAACAGGGGGACCTCACCACCAGGAGCACCCGTCCTCCAAGACAAGCGATGTCCTGATTTTGTCATGCGGGGTCCCCAGAAGTCCCGACGCTCTCCCTAGGGCTGGCGTTTCAGGCTGAGGGGCTTCTTAACGGTCCTAGAGCCCGGCGAAGGCCCCTCGAGGCCGAGAACGGGCAAAAGTATCCCGTCGTGACTTTTCGCGACGCGGCCATGTCTGGGACCTGACTCGTCGCGATGCCTGTTGTGATGCCGCTTTCTCGCTGCTCCAAGGTATCCCAGCACTTAGTGGGCCGAAACGGCAAGGCAACACGATAACGGTAAACATGAGTATGATTGGGAACGGGAAATCAAAAAACGGCAGCTCTGGGATTGACGCCAGAAGCGGAACCGGAAAGGGAAAACGGCGACGGAAGCGGGGAATCAACGGCGCGGGAACCGGCATACTACAGTGAAGGTGTTGGTTAAGGAATGCGCCCAAGAGGCTTCAGACCCTGGAGGGTTTCTTATTTGATGAGGGCGGCGGTGATATCCATGGCCAATCCACGATTGGAGTTCCACTGGCTTCGAGACTCTGGATTATTTACCCATTGGTTCCTTATTCAATGCCCCTACCCTATCGCAAAACAGGAGACGGCCAAGAGGGGGGTGATGACCAGGGGGGGGGATATCATGGCGGGGGGCACGATGTCTTCCAAGATTTCATGGCGCCCCTTCTCATTTCGATGCGTCCCTGGCCACCTCCTGGGCCGCGCAAATGCCGCTGGCCATGATTTACGCCCTCCCCTCTTGGACGCCCCCCTCTTGGACGCCCCCGATATTGCCAAAGCAGAACTTGTTAAGACAGCGCTCTGTCGTTTCCAGGGCGCCGGTGATGCCCGTGGCCCATCCACGATCGAATTCCCATCGGCTTCGAGACCTTGGATTCCTTCTCCATTGGTTCCTTATCCAACGCCCCCACCGTGGTGCAAGACAGAACCTGTCAAAAAGTCGCTCTGTCGTTTCCAGGGCGCCGGTGATGCCCATGGCCCATCCACGATCGCATTCCCATCGGCTTCGAGACCTTGGATTCCTTCTCCATCGGCTCCTTCTCCAACGCCCCCACCGTGGTGCAGGACAGAAGCCGTCCGCAGAAGTCGCTCCGTCGTCTCCCGGGCGCCCGCGCCCGGGCAGGAGCACCAGAGCCGGCGGGCCGACGACCAGGCCCGGCTGCTGGAGGAGAAGGTCAGCAAGACGGAGGCCCCGCGGGGGGCTGGCCGGGCGGTGCGCTGCGCTGCGCCGCTGGTCGGGGGCGGCCAAGGAGGGGGGGGGGACGACGATCGGCAACGCGCAAAAGGGGGGTAGGGGGAGGGGGGAAGGCTTCTTAGAAGCACCCCTGCTTCCTAGAAGGCGCGGGCCTTCTCTGTCGACGCGAGGCCGAGGCCTTCTGAGAAGCAGGGTGCTTCTAGGAAGCCGTCCCCCCTACCCTTCTACCCCCTTTTGCGCGCCGCCAAGACTAGGGCGGGGTGGATATCATGGCGGGGGCATGAGATCTCCCCTCGTGTCATGGCGCTTCTTTTTATTTCAATACAACCCTGCCCCCCCCCCCTGGGCCGCGCACATGTCACATGCCGCCGGCCATGATATGCGCCCCTTCCCTCTTGGACACCCCCCTCTGCTCTGCTTCGCAGAGCGGATTTCGGTCGGAAACCTATGGGATGGACCTGGATTGTCTTGGAGAGTTTCCTTCCGGATTTCGATGCGACCACAAAAAATCACATGACAATCACATGACATTCACTCCGTTTTGCGTTGACAGAAATCAGCGAAAATCCGCTACAGCACGTCTGCAAGGTCGGTGTAGTGACTGCTCGCTCCCCGCCACCCCTGCCTTAAACCTAAGATTCCTGGGAGGTTGAACTGTTCACGCTTCGCACATCCCCACCAGCCCATCCAGACACGATGTCCAGCGGAGGAGCGTGACGTCAGGTCGAGACGTATGATATCAGGCGGCTGTGTGGGCCAGAGGCTCCTGGCATGCCTCATTGGGTCTGTTAGGGTGTCTCCTGAGGGCATCTTGGAGTCGTCCTGTGGCGCCTTGGGGGCCTCTTGCCGGCTCTCGGGGGTCTCTCTGCAATTCCTAGGGTCGAGGGAAAAAACAGACTGCGTGCGCATAGGTTCAAACAGTGGCGAAGCGTCCTGGCTCGCCTATTGGCCGACCAAACAATGTTCTAAGAACCTTTTGTGGTTTCCACGAAATGTTCTTAGAACATTTCTGACTGGGACTGTCTTGTTTTAACGCATCGGGGTTACGTTCTAAGAACTTGGTTACGCTCTAAGAACATCTCGTGGTAGGCCTTTAGGACTGCCAGGACGGTCGGCCCCTGCTCAATAGGTTTTCGAGGCTCCGCGCGGATCTCCTGGATCTGCGCTGGGCCCCCCTCCCGGATCCCTGGGCCGTGCGGGGGCGGACTCCGGAAGCCGAAGGCGTCGGAAAGCTGGCCGTCGCGAGGGGGAGAGGAGGACGGCGAGGGGGGAGGAGGAGGAGGAGGAGGAGGAGGAGGAGGAGGAGGAGGAGGAGGAGGAGGAGGAGGAGGAGAAGGCGGAGGAGGCGGGGGGGGAGGAGGAGGAGGAGGAGAGAGGAGGAGGAGGAGGGGAGGAGGAGGAGGAGGAGGAGGAGGGAGGCGGAGGAGGAGGAGGAGGAACCCCCCTCCCGGAATCTCTGGAAGAAGCGGTTCGAGATGAAGGGCCGTCCCAGGGGAAGGTTCAAGATCGGCGACTGCCAAGGGTATGGTCACGCCTGGGTGTGGTTTGCGATCGGCACCTTTGGGGGGCACGACACCGTCCTCGTCGGGCCTCCTCGGGGCTGGGAAGGACTCTATCGAGGTCCCCGCGCGCCCCCTAGGGTGCCCCCCGAGGATATTCCCCAGGGTGCCGGTTGCAAACCGCACCCTTTGCAAACCACACCCTTCGGAGTCGCCGACAAGAGTCCAAGAAGAACATATTGCTTAAACAAAAACTGTCGGAGTTGCGCGCGGATTGCGCGCGGATTACTATGACTGGCGGGGGGGGGATATCATGGCGGGGGGGCATGATATCTCCCCAGATGTTATGGCGCCTCTTCTGATTTCAATACGTCCCCGGCCGCCCCCTGCGCCGCGCAGATGCCTCAGGCCATGATTTGCACAGCCCCCTCTTGGACGCCCCCCTCTTGGACGCCCTCTAGCTGGGCACCCCTGGCGGAGCCTCTGGCGCCGCCCCTGGCGCGCTCCGCGCGTCATTGGGAGGGGTCCTGCGCCGATCCAAGAAATCCACTCGGATATTCGAAAGTTGACTTTTATCTTTTGTTTCTGCGTCTATTGGGGGGTTGAGTTGAGCATCTGCCCAATCCGTTTCATTGGTCCATCCCAATCTGGCCTAATGCTGCGTAGTTGTGAGCTCATTATGGTTCCACCGCCTCTTCACCTGGTTAGATTCAGCCTCGCCTCGCACGCGAGAACCTACCTGGAGCTACGTCTTACTCCGCCCTCCCGGTCGCATCCTGACGGTTGCGGTGGCGGTCTGGGGTTAGAGCACATCGCTACAGGGCGTTCTGGAACGCTCTGAAAGCGTCCCAGAACGCTCTGGAATGGCGCTGCGATCCGGTTTCGGCCCGACCTTGGTTTCGTCTTACGCTAAGCGTCGGCTGCGATTTCACCAGACGCGTCCCGCCGAGGGCTCGCCTGGGGGCTCCGGCGTGTCGTCCCAGAGGGCCATCGCAGGTTGGGGTCACGCACCTCGAGCCTCGAGCGGATCCGCTCGTCATCTTCGCCGTATTGATTCCTCCTACGTTTGTCCGTTGACCCTCTCCCTCCTCGTTACTCCGTCCTCCCCTTCCTGGTTCATCCTTGCCCTGCTTCTCTGACTCGACTCTATTCGTTTGGCCACGATGGCGCAGAGTTGTGGATCATCGCCGTCTTCGTTGTCCTGTTCCTCCTCTTCCCCCTCCTTCTTCGCATTTCCCTCCGCTTGCTCATCCTACTCGTTGGCAATCCGAGAGGGCGCACGCTGTCTCATAAGACCACCAGAGGTTCTGGTCCAGAATCGCAAGCTGATGCGTTCGTCATGCTCCATGCTCGCCTCCGCCGGCTCTTCCGCAATCCACGGCCTGAATTGTCTTGGAGCGCGAGCCGACCCAGATCTCGAAGCGGGTCTAGTTGCGGTGGCGGGGGCCTCAGGGAGGGCCAGGAATGCAATAATTCTGGAAGAAGGTCCGTCAAACGAGAAATTGCCCTTCCAACGGGTGCCAGCCACCGAACATTCTCATCCCCTGGTGGCCCTGGAGGCCCACTGGGCTTCAAGGACCCTCCGTAAAGTCCACGAGCATTGACGCACATTTTTACCAGAAGTGAGCTTCCGTAGTTCTTGACACTATCGCAAGGTTTCTGACCGCATTTATCTACGTCAAGACTTCAATTGGTTTTCCACTCGACCCCCCTCCCCTTCTACCCACGCTCACCGAACCCGCCCCCGAACGCAATCCAGCCCCCCCACGGCCCGCAAAAGGCAGCCCATGGCCTGACCCCCCGCGCGATCCCCCCATTCTTATGGAGCATCTCGGAGTGCTGTACGGCAGGTTCGCGTCATGTCGACGCGGCGGGGACCCGAGCGCGGGCGGGCGTTCAAGGTTGAGCGCCCGTCGTGTCGACGCGGCAGTGACCTGAGCGCGGGCGCTCAAGGTTGAACGCCGCCAGTAGCCCCGAATCTGCAAATCTTGACAGCTCTGACGATCGAGACGCCGCCGACCGTTCCAGGTTCCACGGTTCACACGGTGTCGGCAACCAGCGCCAGGGTCGTGGCGACACGATTTGTTTCGGGTGTTCTTCCTTGCCCCCCCTCTCCCGCTTCCATCTGCTCGACACGCTTGCGGCCTCTCGGCTACAGGAGTGCTGGGCTCATTGGTTGTCCCCCCTGGCGAAGAGGGCGGATTGGCTGGCCACTCGTCTCTTTCCTCCTCCTCCTTCTCCGCCTCGTCCTCTTGTTCCTCCTACTCCTCCTCTTCCTCCTTCTGCTCCTTCCTCTTCTTCTTATTATTCTTCTTCTCCTCATCCTCTTTTACCTCCTCCTCTTTTACTCCTTCCTCCTCCTCCTACTCCTACTCCTACTCCTACTCCTACTCCTACTCCTACCCTCCCCCCTCTTAGCTCGCTCCTCGTTCCCGCGCGGCGGCCGCGTTCCCATCTCCGCGCCGCCGCCAACCCTCGTCCCCCCAGCTGGGAGCCCCAGTCCAGGGGGGGGGTTCTGGAGCTGGAGGATAAGGAGGAGGAGGAGGAGGAGATGGAGGAGGAGGAGGAGGAGGAGGAGGAGGAGGGGGAGGAGGAGGAGGAGGAGGAGGAGGACGAGAGGAGGAGGGGATGATGATGATGATGCTGCTGATGATGATGATGATTATGATGATGCTGATGATGATGATGATGATGAGAATGAGGATGAGGATGAGGATGAGGATGATGATGAGGATGAGGATGAGGATGAGGATGAGGATGATGATGATGCTGATGATGATGGTGCTGATGCTGATGCTGATGCTGATGATGGTGATGGTGATGATGATGATGATGATTCTGCTGATGATGATGCTGATGATTATGATGATGATGGTGATGAGGAGGAGGAGGATGAGGAGGAGGAGGAATAGGATGAGGAGGAGGAGGAAGAGGAGGAGGAGGAGGAGAAGGAGGAGGAGGCGGAGGAGGAGGAGGAGAGGAGGAGGAGGAGGAGGAGGAGGAGGAGGAGGACGAGCCAGGTGCTGCTGGAAGTGGCTCTTGCCGAAGCTGGGCCCAGTTTTTCCAGGCAGGCGCAGATGGCTTCCCGAGCACCCCGCACGAGGTCCGATGATGGCGCTTCGGGCCAGGACTACTGCTCCTAGCAATCACCTGGAGGAGAGTTAGGCCCAGACCTCCAGCGTATGGGAGGGAGATGGAGGGAAGATGGAATGGCTTACTGACCGCTCTCAACTCAAAATGCCCGCGGGCGAGAGCCCCTGACCCAGGCACAAGAAAATGATTTCGGCAAGCGCAAGATGGAGGGGATGCGGGAGGAGGGGGGCGGAAGCGGGGGGTGGGTGGGTGGGCGCAGCAGAGATGGAGGGAGCTGGGACGTGTATTTGGCGGGACAAGGGTGGAGACCAGGAAAGGCAGGGCGACGTGGGAGGGAGATGAGACGAGGGAGGGAGTCCGGGTCTGGTTGGCCCAAAATGGGGTCCAGCGACAAGGGGATGGTGCTGGTTGCAATAGATTTTGGGGCGTGCAGAACATTCCCGTGCGCAGGTGTACTGCTGGGCCTTCGCGTGCAATACGCGAGTTGCAATACAGCGCAGTCCAATACCCTGGCGCAACACCTTTGCCATACAGTTGCCCCCCACACCTCCTGCACCACCCCCTTGCAGCTGGACCCCCTCTTGGGCCCACCAGAGGCCAAAGACTGGAGGAAGCTGGGACTCGCAGGGGGCGGCGGGAGGGACAGAGCAGAGAGCGGAGGGCAAGCGAGGGGGGCAGGTGCTGCGGGAGCTGCTGAGCGCCGTGCGGGCGCTGTCGAGCCCGCTGAGCCGCCCCCTGTCTGCGGGCAGTGCGGTGCAGCGCCGGCCGCGGCCTCGGTGGAGCCGGCGCCGCTGCAGCTCCCGGCTCTCTCTCTCTCTCCTCCCGCTGCCTCCCTCGTCGTCGTCGTTTCGCCTCCGCCGTCCTCGCGCCTCCCTCCCTCCCCCGCCCTCCGCCGCCCCCCCTCCCCACGCTCTCCTCCCCCCTCCCGCCGCCCTCCTCGGGATGCGTCGTGGCCTCCTCCCTCCGCCATCCTCCTCGTCGCCCTCTCTCCGCGTCGGGGGCCCGAGCGGCCTGACTCTCGTCCTGCGCGCGCGGCCGGGTGGGGCCGCCTGGCCTCTGTGGGCTACCCTCTGTGGGCTACCTGCACTGGAGGGCCACACGTGGGGGCTGCACTTTGGGGGGCTAGGCTTGGGGGGTTACACGTGGGACGAGGGCTCGGTTTGCCCGCGCCACATCCCCTCACCCCTCACTCTGGTCCGCAAGTGAAGTGCGGGGTGCCTCGTGCCAGTCCTCGCACCCCTACCCCGGTTGGGAAGAGCCGTGATGAGGATCCAGGTGAGGACGTTCTTGATGTTGTTGATGCTGATGTTGTTGTTGATGATGGTGATGGTGATGGTGGGGGTGGTGGTGGTGATGATGATGAGGAGGAGGAGGAGGAGCAGCAGCAGCAGCAGGAGCAGGACGAGGAAGAGGAAGAGGAATGCTGTCACATGTGGCACCTTTCGTCTTCACTTCTCGAGGAGCTTTCATGGAGCCTCTTGGCCGTATGGGAGGTGCCTTGAAGCCGTCGTGGGGCCTTCTTGGCGCCGTCTTGGTCCGTCGGAGGGCTTTCTAGGGTCTTCTTGGGTCTTTCCCGAGGTCCTTTTTGGGCCGTCTTGGGAGCCTCTTGAGGGCCTCTTGGGCAGTCGTTGTGCCATGCTGGAGGCTTCTTAGGCCGTGTTGAGCTGACGAACGCTCGAGAAGGCGAGAAAACGAAGTTGGCCTTCTTGAGATCGTCTTGGACCGCCCCGTGGCCATCTTGAGCCGTCTTGGAATCGTCTTGGTCCATCTTGACGGCCTTGATGGTTTGCCTCGGCCGTCTTGAAAGCTCGTGAGTGCGGATCCATCGCTTCTGACTAGAAATAGTGGATTCTTGAGTGCGGATTCATTCACAACGAAGGATCGTGGCCTGGGGGAGCGGGCGAGGTGGACGCATGCCCCTGTTTGGCAGAGAGGGGGGCTTCTCATAAGAATGCACAAACCCTATCAGACAGGGCTTGGCCCTAGGCATTCTACGACGTCTCAACACTCTGGCTCTGCTTCCACGTCCTCCTTCTCCTCGTTTTGCCTCGAGTGGCCCGAACACGGATGCTTCACCTTCGCTAACTTGACTCGTTAGCGCTGAACCATGGTCATGCCGCAGAGAATACCACCATATTGCTTGCGTTGGAAGCCGTCTCGGATGCATTATGAGTCCATCTTGGAAGGCTTGGGTTGTCTTGGGGCAGTCTTGGGGCAGTCTTGGGGACGGCGTGGGGCAGGCTTGGCCAGTTTGCTTGCCGTGAAGCGCAAGGGGACGGACGATGTGCGGATGTGGGGCCCCACTACCAGACGGCACAGTGGCATGACGTGACGATCAAAAATGCCACTGGGCACGGTGGCGGATACCCCATGATCTCCATTGTTCTTCAACCAGGCCTGGAGAAGGCGAGTTGGGAGGTGACCCGGACCGGAAATGTCCACAGGTGGCCGTCCATTGTGATCTTCTGTTGGCTGTCATTTACTCCTGCAACGCTTCTGGCCTATCGAGTCCAGCCGCCTCCGAGCTTTACCGTTACCAAACCGTTGAGACCGATCGATGGACGCGGTGGCTGTCGCGGCCAGCGTGCCAGATACTCTGCCCCCTAGGATGCAACTCCTGGGAGTATAAGTTCTGGCCGAAAATTGTCCTGATTTGGCTGAGTGCCGCTCAATCCTGCTTAACCGGTTTTCTCCTGCCCGATCCCGCCTAGCGAATCACAGGCTTAATGTGGCCCCATCCCGCTCATGGCGCTTGCGTCAGACACAGCCCTTAATACTGATCGGTGCGACGAAGACGTCCAGGCCTCGGAACAAATTAGCGAACACTCATGCCACATTCATCCGTCAACGCCTCCTCCTGCCCCCAATGTTCAAAGTTGGCGGTGGGTCCGACGAGATGCACCTCGACCGCAGCACCCCCCCGCGCGTGCCAACATTGAGTTTTGGGGGGAGGGGGAGTGTTCAGTAATTGTGTCCCTCTACCGTCCCAGGAGTTGCCTTCTAATGCCCCTTAGCTGTTTGGTGTGACGAAGACATCCCAGGAGTTGCCTTCTTAGGGGGCCAGATGTGAACCCTACCCCTACCTCCCACGATTTCTGAGGGGGAGGGTGGGGTTCACTTCGTTCGGGAGCTCCCAAGCAAAGTGAACCCCGCCCTCCCCCCCAGAAATCGTGGGGGGTAGGGGCAGGGTTCGCATCTGGCCCCCTGCTTCTGATGCCCCTCAGCTGTTTGGGCTCAGGCTGCCGACCCGGGATCCCGAGTGCCGCGCCCGAGCGCGCGGGTGAGGCCGCGGCCCGAGCGATGGCCTCCCACCTCCAGCTCTACCGCGGCAGGCTGCCGGCCATTGCGGAGGAGACCCCCCGCGGTCCAAGCAGCGGCGAAGCGTCCTGGCTCGCCTCCAGCCCTACGAAGCAGTGTTCTGAGAGCCTTTTTTGGTTTCCCACGAAGTGTTCTCAGAACATGGCTGGCGGAGTCTGTCGTGCTTTATCACATCGGGTTTGTGCTCTAAGAGCACCGTATTGTTCTTAGAACACTTTTGGGGGTTCTAAGAACATGTCGTGGTATGGCTATAGGAATGTCGGGACGGTCGGTCCCTGCTCAAGCGGTCCCAGAGGGAAACAAGAACGCCATCAGCACAAAGCGTGGGATCTCGCGTGGATTCCTCAGATCGCCGTTTGACGCCCCTCCTTGGCGCGTGGGGCGCGCCAGGGGCGCCGCTGGAGGCGCCGCCAGAGGTTCATGAGGAAAAGAAGCACACAGACACAATTAATCTTCGATTATCCAGAAAATATAGGACAATATGGGAAGTGGGGGGAAGACAGAAACCCAGAATATATGGGAAAATCTAGGGGGGATATTGTTATTTGTGTGTATTTATTTGTGTGTCCCAGTTCCCCGTCAGAGGTGGAGATCCAGCGCACATCCACGGAATCCGCGCGGAACTCCGCAAGGTAAGGTTTGTGCCCCTGTTTTCCTTCCCCGATCGAGCCTCGCTCCCCGATCCTTGGCGTCGCACCTCGCCATTCCAATCCTCGCCCTTCCGCCTCGCCCTCGGTGAAAAACCATGGGGTCCCTGAAGCCAGCTGCCTCCAGCGATTCCACCACCGTGCCAGCGCAACATTCTGGGCGTCAGTTGCTCGAGAAGGCAGGGGGGCCTGCTGGGAGCCTCCTGGGGCAGAAGCCTCGACTTCTGGGTCCGTATCCCCGTTGTTAGGTCTTTCTTGAAGCCGCCCTCTTCAGCCAGCTTGAGATCGTGAGGCCGTCTGAGGCCGTCCAGGGGTCCTCTAAGGTAGTCTTGGGTTCCTCTGGAGTCCTGGGCTCTCCAGAGGCCATCCTGGACTGTTTTGAGACCGTCGTGGGCTATCTTGAGGCCCTCTTGGGCCGTCGTGGGGCCATTTTGGAGGCCCCTTCGGCTGTACTGAGCCGACGGAAGCTCGAGAAGGCGAGAATGCTGTCAAGCACCTCTGGAAAATCACTGATTTGGGCCTCTTCTGGCCTTGCTGGGGGCTTCCTTGAAGCCCTCCTTGGGCCGCCATGGAGGTCTCTAAGGCGGTCCGGAGGCTATCTTGGGTCATCGTTGGGCCATTCTCGGCCGTGTTGGACATATTTTGTGCAGCTTGGAGGGGTTGGAGGGCGCCAGGGAGGTATGAGGCGTCCCAGGAAGCCTCGGGAAGGGGGGGCGGTGCTCGCAGATGGGCACTTGGAGGGGGGAGGGCCCCCTAGAAACATTGCAGAAAACCGGCCATGTAGCACTTGGTATGATACCACGCCTCAACGTGCCAGGGGGGCACCGTGGCGGATGTCCTCGAGATTCCGCCTTTAGTTTAGAGCGCGTGGGCGTACGCCAGCGCTTGGCAGTCGATGAGCAGGCACCGATGTGGCGTCGATGGTGCGTCGGTGCTGCGTCGATCTGGCGCCGGGGCGCGTCGATGCGCGCCGGCGAGCGCCGGCGAGCGTCGACCTCGCAGGCGCCAGCAGCAAGACGGCACGGGAGGAGGAGGAGGAGGAGGAGGAGGAGGAGGAGGAGGAGGAGGAGGAGGAGGGAGGAGGAGAGGAGGAGGAGGAGGGGGAGGAGGAGGAGGAGGAGGAAGGAGGAGGAGGAGGAGGAGGGGAGGAGGAGGAGGAGGAGGAAGGGAGGAGGAGGAGGAGGAGGAGGAGGAGGAGGAGGAGGAGGAGGAGGAGGAGGAGGAGGAGGAGGAGGAGCAGCCCCCGTCCGACTGCCGCGGGCGCCCGCGGGCGGAGCCGCGCCTCTCGCGCCCCTGCGGCGGCGCCCCGAGGGCGGCCGGGGCGGAGGGGGCGGCGCGGGGCTCTCTCTCGGCGCCCGAGCGCGGTCGCGCCTCGCGCCACGCGCCCCGGCGGCGCTCCGCGGGCGGGCGGGCCGATCGGGCGGGGCAGGGGGCCTCTGCGGGGCCCCTCAGCGCTTCGTGGGCCCCGGAAGCGGCAGGGCCGTTTTTTCACCGTTTCCAAAAAAAAACGTCCCTTGAAAAGGGAAACGGCAAAAAAAAAAACGGCGACCGGAACCGGCAACAAATCGGCTCCAGGATCGGAGCTGGAGCCGGAACCGGTCAAACAACGGCGACGGAACCCGTAAAAAAATTGCGTCGGAACCGGCAAAAAAACGGCAAAACGGAACAGGTAAAAAACAGCCTTGTCGTTTCCAGGGCCCAATAAGCCTCAGCAGGTCCGAGCGGGGGGGGGTGCTGGGGCGGCCCCGGCCCTCCTCCCTTTCGCCCCTCCTCCCGGGACGATCGAACTGCGAGCGCGG